TCTCTTTCTCTCTTTCTTTTTTTAAATCTAAATACCTGGAGGAACTCCTTCTAAAGAACACAGGTGGTCCCATGGGGCCTTTCCTTCCTAGAAGAGGATTCTCCAACTCCTTCCACAGGAGGGAATGGGCTGGTTCCACCACAGGACTAAGGCAGGACCTGAACGCACAGGGAGTAGAGGCTGTGGCTTTTAACCCTCAAGTCGCACTGCCCTGGCTTCACCCTTCCTCCCTGGCTGCCCACCAGCCTAGTACTACGCCTGAGCGGGTCCCACTGAGTGGGCGTGGCTCACTTCTGTGGGGAGGGGCTCAAATGGTCTTTGAACCACCTCAAACCAAACCCAGACAGACTGGACCCCTCCCACCTTCACAGGTTTCCTGGACTGTGGCTATTTGTACATCATCTCCTCCTTCAGACAGGGCTCATCTCCTGGGCAGCAGTTCTGGCCCGCCCTGCCCGTGAGTTTGCCTGGCACTCACTCCTGCACGAACGAAGGCCTCACTTAGGTTAGGTAACCTGTTCTCCCACCCCGCATTGCCCCTCACCCAGCTTGATCTTCGCCCCCACACTCTGCTGCAGGCCCACCCATGCTCTCAGCACATGGGCAGCCTCTGCCCTTCCCATTTGGGCAATGCAGCTGATAGTGACCATGGTGTGCCCGTGACAGGGCAGGTGCAGGTCTGGTTACTGTCCATGTGTCAGTTCAACTTCAAGCACAGTTTGCTGGAAGGGACACAGGTCCCAGCCCCCCTTGCACACATGAACACACATGGCACACACAAAGCCCAGTGTGGGCTCTCTGTGGACCAGAGGTCCATAGAGCAATGGAACAGGAGATGAGTCCTAGGGAGGGAAGGGGCAGACAGCTGCCGTCCCCACCATTCCTCCCCCCAGCGCACGACCTCGGCTGACCTGGAAGAGCTGGCTCATGGCCTGCCCAGTTCACTGAATCCTATCCCCTCACTTTTCAAGCAGGGAAGCAGAAACCCAGAAAGGCAGATTTTTGCTTGAGCTTTTCCTGAGCAGTAAAGGCTGACATAGGGTCAGAGCTGGTTCCCTGGATGCTGCCCCAGGATATGTTCTCAGCGCCAGATGCTGCCACCGGTCAGAATGCCAGCTTCAGGACTCTGGGCATTTGGCCACTTTTTCCTGAAGTCTTGGTAGAATACAGGGATCCATTCTCCTGCCAAGGCTGAAGTCAGTCCACCCTTCCTCTTGGCCACAAGCACGACCCGTGTCTCAGGGCCGTGCTGAACTTGGTCCATGCCCCCGGTGTGAGGGAAGGATGGGGGCTTACCTGCCGAGAGCTGGCCGTGGTCTCATGGTCGAGACATATCAGAGGCTTTTAAGAGCTGGGAGGGCTGTGTTGGAGGGAGGCCTGTGGGAAGTAGAGAATGTGAGAATATTATATCACTGCCAGCTGTCAACTTGCACTTGAGTTTTAAAAAATGCATCCCCAATGGTGAGCAGAGCCTTGCTGAGAGTGACCTCACAGCCAAACTCCAGCTACCACCCCTTCTCCAACATGGTCATCTCAGGGTCAAGAGCAGGCCTCCTAGGAGTGCCCCTTGGCCGCATCACCCACCACACAGAGCTGGGTGTCTGCCGTTCACCTGCTGAACCCCTGCATTCTAATTCTGCTCTCCAGCTAAGAAACTCTCACTTTCAAGCACTCCTTGGGGAAAACATCCCTCCATGGGCTCCCTGAGCACCTTTCATCATAATTCACTCATCCTTTCTTTCATTATTCATTCATTCATGCATGCAAGCATTCAAAAGCCACTTGGGAAATCTTTTAGATGTTGGTGTCCGGTCTTAGGGAGACAGTCGTGGAAAGTGATAGCTCAGGTCTAGTAAGTCACTAGTAGACTCAGGACAAATGCCACAGGCTCCCGACCCCCAGCCTGGTGGGTTTCCTCCCTCTTCTCAGTGACCTCTGTCCTAGACGCGGGACAAAGCACTTGACCCGTCACGCAGGACAGCACAATGCTTTCCACCATTTTCAGCAAGAGGACTTCCTTTTCGTGTGAAAATATTTCTTAAAACTTCTCCTAACCGTGCTCTTTATATCTCTTTATTGGGAAAATAAAGAATGATACAAACGCCACATGAACGTAATGCTTTACAATTAACTTGTATTTTAGTCATCACAGCACCAGCACATCTATTGAAATAATGGTTCCACATACTCACTTGAGACATGTTATTTCTGTCTTCTGGGCTTAAGGCTTTGACCTCTTGGGAATCCATTCACTCAATATTTGTTCAGTAGGTAACTGTGGAGCATCTCCGGGATGCCCAGCCCCGTGGCCCACCGGTTAGGGACTCTGGTACGGGAAAGAGTGGTGGCTCTGCGGTGAGGCATGTGCAAGCTCCAGCCTGGCTCAGACTGGATGCGTGCCCTTGGGCAGGCCACTTAGCCTGTCTCCAGCTCAGAGTCCTCATGAGTCAAGGGGAGATGATGACCCTGACACTGGAAAGTTGTTAGCAGGATGAAATGAGACAGCAGAAAGCACCCAGATCAGAGCCCGGCATAAAGCAGAAGCTCAACAAACCTGAGGATTATCATCATCGTCACCATTATCTTTATCACGGCCACTGCCAGTATCACCACCACCACCACCATCACGAACATCCTCATCGCTACCGCCAACAGCACCATCACCATCACTACTGTCATCCTCACCGGCACCACCACCACCATCACTCTGCTTCCCTTCTCTTTCTGAACCCCAAGAGGCCTGTTGTGGCCCCGTGAGTAGGATACACTGTTGTTACTACCTTATAAGAAGGTTGTTTGTATGCACATCCTTTGCAAATTCACGCCTGTCTCTATAATTTCAGAGCTGTGTGAAACTGGCTAAGTTATTTAGCCTGTCTACATCTGTTTCCTCCTATGTAACATGGGATAACAGTTTTAGTACTTCACGGGATTCTTGCAATGAGTCAATGAAATAATGCATATAAAACCTCAATAGAATATCTGGGATGTGGTAAATGCTCACTAATTGCTGGTCATTGTTGTTGTTGCTGTTATTTATGATCACTTCTCCTCTTAGCCTAAGAGCCCCTGTAGGCAGTGACCTTTCCCTTTCCTCTCCGTCTCCCCAGAGTCTAGCACAAGGCCTGCCTCCCAACAGACATTAATGAATCCTTGCTGAAACAGCGTCAGAAGCTCACACAAAGTCAGATGCAAAATAACTCAAGGGACAAGGGGAAATGGCCAAGGATAGAGCCCTGATGGGACCCTGAAAAATTCCAACAGACCTCCTGACGGGAGCTGTTTGTTACCCAGGCAGCCAATCTGCAGGCCTGCTAGGACCATGCATTTATTCGTTCATTCATTCATTCATAAGTTTACCAAATTTTCACTTTGGTGAAATAATAAACCCTCTCCCAGTGCCTTTTTTTCTTCTATTTTAAAATCTTGTTGCCATCTGCCACACTAGTTAAGTCTTCACAAAAATGCTTGGAGGCAGTGTCCATTTTGTAAGTAAAGAAATGGAGGCTCAGAGAGGTGACAAGATTTGCCAAAGGGCACACAGCTGTCAAGGTCATGGTGGAAAGCAGACCAGGGTCCCATTCATGACCTGGACTCCTTCCCACTGGCCCCATGACATCTAGCACTTAACAAGTCCAGGATCACTCACTCTCACTGCTCAGTCGGCTTCTCAGCAAACAAAACTGAATTAAATTATTTTGGTGCTATTTTAACATGCCTGTTGGGAAAGAAAAGCTAGAAGTTCCATGAGTCAGGGACTAGGAGAGCCACAGCAGTACAGGGCGAGTTGAATATCAGACTGCCAACCCTGGACTGCCTAGGTTCAAATCCTGACTCTGATGCTCATTAGCTGTGGGACATTGAACAGGTGACTTAACCTCTCTGTGCCTCGATTTCTTCATCTATGTGGAAAGGCTAATAATAGCTATCGGTGGGACTGTTGAGAGAATTAAATGAGCTAATCTATGTACACTGTCTAGAATAGTGCCTGGTACATAGTACAGGTTAGTTGTAATTATTATCATTCGGGATGTATCCTGTGCACTTGAACAAGTCCTGGCACGTGGAAGATCCCTAAAAATACTTGTTGGAAGGTTGAGTGAATGAAATATTCCCTAGAAAGAGGTCAGCAGCTGTGCCTCCAGTATGGATGAGTAAGTTAAAAGAGTAGCTGGAGCTCTGGCCTTAAGAAATCTAGGGTCCCCCAGGTCCTGGATTAGCCAAATCCAGGAGGAAGGAGATTGATCATTCCAGGACTCAAAACCCTTTCTGCTTCACCAAGAAGTTTTCTGTCCAATGAAGAGCAGTAATAGGACTCATGGTTAAGAATATGGGCTCTTGAGTCAGATACTTAAATTCAAGTCCTTACTCTGTCACTCTGTTACTACTAGCTGTGTGCTTACCTTCCCGTACCTACCTCAGTTTCCCTACCTGTAAAACGGGGATACCTTGGAGGGATGTTGGGTGGATTAGATGTCATATGGAGGAGGTAAAGCCTCCTATACCTGGCCCTGGTCCATGGCAAGAGCAATCCTGAACCTAACAAGGTCACTGGCAGCTGATGGTGGTGGAGACTGTCTAAGGGGCCAGCTCATCCTGTGCCGAGTGCTGTTTCGCCCACTCTCCCCCACGTGGGCTCCACATCCCTCTCCTAGGATTGCAACTTGTTAGTATAGCCTGGGCTCCACTCACGTGGTTGGAAGGCTGCTGGGAAAAGGCACATTCTTTATTTGGCCTCAGTGCAGACTGGACTCCGTGGAGGTGAGACAGCTCCTCGGGAAATGGTCCTCTGGGAAAGGTGGTCTCCAGAGAATCCACCTGGAGCTTTCCTCCCAAGCACCAGTAACTCACCACCAGCATGCAGCTAGCTGCCTCTGGTATGATCCCCGTCCCTGCAGGGGGACTCCCCCATGCTCTGCCTCCCTGGCCAAGACCCCCAGGTTGGCTGACCAGCCTGCCTACGGGAAGAAACGAACATATATTGAGCCAGAAACTTTACATTCCTGGTCTTATGTAATCCTCAAAACAAGCCTACAGGTGGGCACCCTGAGCTCTCCAGGACCAGCTGTGAGACCCTGAACCAACTATTTAGCCACCATGTCTCAGTTTCCTCATCTGTGAGCCCTAGGTAAGTATCCTTACTCAGCAAAGCCATTTTGCAGAGAAGGGCGTGGAAGCATTGCAGGGAGGGATGTGCACTGTGCGAGAGTGTGTGACTAACAAGTGACAAAGCTGGAGCTGTTTGACTTCACAGTCCCATCCATTCATTCATCATCAATTCTTTTTGGAAGGCTCACCATGTACTGTGCACTGGATCCAAACTCTCTCTTTTAAAAAATATATTCATATGCTCTTTTTCCCATCACTCCTAAGACCCTAACATTAAACCAATTCAACTTAACAAAGACACATATTAAGTCCTTTCTATGTGCCAGGCACTGTGTGAGGCTCTGGTATTAAGGCTCATGTTGAATCCTCAGGACAATCCTGTGCAATGGACTGTTTTACCCTCTTTACAGATGACAAATGGACAAATCAGAGAGATAAAAGAACTTGCCCAAGCTCGCACACATGAAGCCTGATGGTAGCTTGCATCGTCTGAGCCCCAATCCACTTTCTTCCCTCCCACCTTGGAGCTCCCTTCTCCCCAGGGCACTCTCCCCTCCTCTCTCCACCCTGATGCATGGTGATGCAGGTTCTGGAAGTTACAGTCAAGGTCAACCCCTTGACATCCCTCGCCCAGCGGAGAAAGACAGCTGCCAGTCCTGCTGGCCAGTGTCACCCTAACTGGACCTTCAGGGTTCTGTGCCTCCCTGGCTCCCCTACCAACCCCTGAAATTGATCGTTGTTTGCTTTTATATCTTGTCTATTTCCAAAAAGGACGTGAGGAAGATTAAAGAATAAAAGTGCAGACCAAAGCTTGAAACACCAGACAGAAGCAAAGTCTAAACATAAAGAAGCAGTGGAGGCTGGAGGCAAATGTCTCGAAGGACAACGCCCAGTGCTCACAGGTTTGGGGAGATGGGTGCTCTCACAGCACTGCTCATAGTGGAAGTCGGCAGAGTGCTTTTGGAAGACAATTCACAGCATGCACCAAGAACTTTGCCTCACAAATGTCCATACTTTGGGGGTACAGCCATCTCAATTTCCAGGAATATAGTCCCAGGAAAAAAATTCTAAGCAAATTCCACCCAGCCTTTTTTATGCTACTGAAGCACTGAGGACTGAAAGCAAACCTAAGTGCTAATACATGGAAATGGCGAACAGTTCCACAAAAACTAGAGTCCATCTATACCTGGAGCTGGCAAATACAGTCTGAAGGACAAGTCTCACTGGCAGCCTATTTTTATAAATAAAGTTTTATTGGGTCCCAGCCA